CACGCACGGGCAGCCTTTGATTTTGTATGCCACGAACGATGATCTAAAAGGTCTCATCCATTTTCTTGGTTCTTTCGGTAAAGTCACGTTGAAGGGAAACAACGTGACTTTACCGAAAGAACCAAGAATATGAATCACTGCAGTCACGAAGGCTTTAAATCAAAATTTAGTCTCATCCATTATTCATCACCACCAACCGTGGTAAATCCGCTGCTGGTTGAAGGCCTCCTCAAGCCACCAGGACCCATCATCCATTATAATTATTGAAGACGTATGATTATACGTATAATCATACAGAAGGTTGAACTGCGTAGTTGATATGTTGGCAACATATTCTTTGCACAGATTTTAGGTTTAACCAAAATATAAGAGTGATTTTTCAACAGAACATGACAGAAGCTTTTAAAACAATGACAACCATTTATGTCGGTGAACACTTGAGAGTCTCTAAAATCTTGATAAAGCGCATGTCACCAGGGCCATGGAGATTACACATGGAGGTTTATATCAATTAGACTTACACGATAACATGTGCATATCCCCAAGTATATGTGAGTGCTAAGTTTTATTGGCAAAAGCTCAAGCTGATGTCTAATTATAATTCTTGAATAATGGGCAACACCTTTGCGGACAACCTGTACGTATGTAGAACTTCTTTTGCACCGTATGTGGCCAACGGTGCTTATAGGAGGTGCGGGGGAACGACAGCAAACCAAACATTAAAAGCAGTTCTTAAGAAATGGGGTTTCTATGCAGATGTGAAAGTGCATAGCTCCAGTGGTTCCCTAATATCGGAAGTAAGAGCATTCCGGACAGCCACAGAAGCACATCTAAAAGCGCACAATGCAGTGGGCGTCTTTGTTAGATGGCCAGCCAAAGGCCGCTGATGGCCGAAGTTTGCGTGATGTTTGATGCTCTTTGTTTACATTCTGGTTTCATTGAGATTGATTATGTTTTTTTAGGATGGAGCCACATGTTTCCATGGCCACGTAGTGGTCAATTGCTGCATGGCTTTCTCTTGTTGTCTAGCTGCCAGCACGATTTTAATTAATTCGGGGGTTCCGGCTAAAACAACACGGGCACAAAATGACAGCCTATTGTTGACACGTGGGTTGGTTGAGGCAAGCAGTAATGTCGGTGCTGTTGCAATCGGTCAGAGAGATGGACTTTAATAAAGCAAATACAAAAATAAGCTCCCCAGCTGCTTCCCATATAGGTGCGTGCAGAGGGTAATAGGGGTTCATAATGAGGATGGCAGTGAGCAAGGGGACAGTTTGATTTATAAGCCGGAAATATAGTTATGCAGACATAATAAGGAAGGCAATGTTTGCTGTGGGCGGGACACGTGGGGGTTGGAGGAGAGCTCTCTGGCTTGAGGTCTTCCACTTGGTCATTGACCTCTGGGTGCAGCTTCATTTCCTGTCTCCACATAATAAAAAAGTGCCTAATTGAACGGATAGACTATTAGATTGTAGTCATGATAATCCATATCTTGCTTGTAAAAGCGACGGTATTCCATGTTTTCTCTGCTGATTACTTGAAGTACAAATCACCGAATGCCTTAAGAAATAAAACCCTTTGTAGCATTGTTTCAATATTAAATAATAATAATAATAAAAATATATGTGCAGACAGCCCTTTATATAGATTATCTTCCAGGGCAAATCCCAATATTTCCATGAACATTTTTTGGCACAAAATATCGTTCATGTAAGCGGGTCGACTCAGCCAATCATCCCATCAGGCTATATAAAATTAGCACCTCTTTGTGACAAATCAACACCGACTCTCCCGTAGACTAACTTGCCCTACGATGGGAACGTGAACTTTCCGTCTCTGTCTCGGACCTGCACGCGAAAGAGATTAACATTACCCCGAGGCTTGGTGAAGCACAGAGGACACTCAAGACTCTTGACTTCATCATTAGTAGCTGCTCATTGTTTTGTCGTCTGAGCTGGATGACACCGTGACATTGAGGGGCTTCTGCGTTTCGCTTTCGAAACGACCACAGGACCAAGCACGAGACAGCAGCTCGGAGATGGTAACATGTATAAATATTTATTTTCCCGCCGTTAAACAGGTATGCTGTATGACAGTTGTATAGCGCACGTTCTGGACGTTTAACACACGGAGGCTCGGTATCGACACTGGCAATGATCGGAGAGATGTACATAGACCAAAAAACATCCAATGCCGAAGCGTTTGCATATTCTAACATGCTTGAATTGATAACGTACTGTACATTGCACAGGTAGTGTATATGTCAACTCTAGATACATACATGTCGTACTGAGTGTCTCAAACGCTGGGTTATTTGTGCCGTAGCCGCAGCGCGACGGACAAATCCACGTTTGCGCTCGTAAAGCGATGAAACCATTTTTTAGCGTTATTATTTTTTTACATTTTTTTGTAAAAATACCATCATAGCCACTAAGTGTTATGTTTACACGTGTTATACATGCGTTCTATATATGTGCGCATTGCTTCTACAAGTTCGTACAGCGGTTAAGTATGTGCACACATATACAATACGCACGTATATAAACATTTGTATGCACTGTTTTACTCTAAACCACTGTGATTTTCAGTGTTTTTTATACGTATTTTTTTGTACCTTTTCCTACGTGTGCATATAATGTCGGTAAATATGATACAATACACGGAGAGAATTGTTTTGTGCATGCTCGACATTTTGACATGATGGACAAGACAAGTATCCTAACGAAGACCACATCATGGAAATCATTTTAATGACATTTTACTCGGAAGTTTACGCTTAAAGAATGAAACCATAGGCAAAGAAAACGAACACACCAGCGAAGGGTCCTTGCACCTTTAAATTAATTCAACATGCTAAAATTTGAAAGGGAAATTAAGACGTTAATTTTTTTCTCTCATATTTTTTTTCTTCTCAAAACTTTCATTCTAATTTGAAGGATAAAAAATAAAACGCACGCGGGAACCAAATTCAGAGGAGGAAGCAGGGAAATTCCAACGCGATATTTGGACAGGTCTTGTCATGCACACCATGCAATTAAAGTAAATACAATACTTATACACGGCAATATTATTACAACAAGGATGTCATTGCACTCCTCCCCTTCAATTTCAAAGTTTAAACCTCACCTCTATTACGGTTGGGTATTTTTTTTTTACAAGTGGACTGACAATGAGTCTAAATCGTATGCATTTGAGGATTTGGAAGATAAAGTAACTGGTACCAAAGCAAATTCAATGAACGACAATCGTCACCGTGTATCCTTTCCAACAACGTAAACTCCGCAACTATTAACTGATTTACAGCCGGTTTTTTCACTCTCTTCTCAGCGGTAACTTCTACACTAATCACTTCTCTCATTATTATTATTATGATCATACATTAATTTAACTTGAGCAATGTGTTAATGCAACAGCAAAGCAAATCCTGTGGCACCTACTGCCACTGGGACATCATAAATACAGTAGTAATACATATCACTCATATTTTCATCACTTTATTGGCCACATTTATAAAATGAGGCATGTGTAAATACAGCGAAATTGTTTTTCTTAATTATGCGAACAAATACAAGTTAACATAATCGGCAATAGAAAGATAAAAAAGGATATAGGCAACGTTTTGGGCAAATTTTCCTTCTGATTTGCACAGAGAGGCCAGAGAGGTAAGAATGACTTTCTCTCTATGTGCTGTAAAGAAGAGCCCTCCGATTAGCACGGTTGGCTACCTGCGGTGAGAAATAAATTCAACGCACATACAAGAGCCATTGCCCCAAAACGTTGCGTATCCTTTCTCTTTTTAAGGCAGTGTAAGTGATGACTGAGTTTATTGTTGTTGTTGTTGCCTGTGCTCGTATACTACTGCCAACGCATGATGCACTAAATAATTTGTTTGACTGTTTAATGGTCATCGGTTCATAAATCATCATTGCTGTGATTGTCGTCATGATTATCATCATCATCGTCGTTTTCGGTCACCTCTATGGGAAAACTAAGCTGCAATTTGTGTACACTCTATTGAGAAATGCACATCATGCAATTAAAATAAGTATAAGTCAAACAATTGCCACTGATATATTTGCAGCCATGCAAAAGAAGAGATGTAACGATGCGTTTATGCGGGGAAATAACTTAGAGGAAACATGTAAGGGAGCATATTTACATGGATATAATTTACAAAGATGATCAAATAATAGTGTACATGATATTGTACATTTGTGTAAATGATACAGTACATCACCTTGTGATATCATCTTCCAAATCCTGTTGAACGATTGGGATAGCTTTCGATTTAAATCTTTCGTGACTGCAGGGATTCATCTTCTTGGTTCTTTCGGTAAAGTCACGTAGAAAGGAAATAAAATAATAAAAATAAAACACAATTATTTTATTATGTTTTATTATTTTATTTCCATTCTACGTGACCAAGAAGATTGGGATAGCTATTTCGAAAATTTCCCCAAAAAACGTAACCATCTTGTCAACAGCGTTGTTGCAACAATAATTTGGCGAACCCCGACCGCATTAATATGCTCACCCTGAAGGAATTCACACGATCATAGTGGCCAAGGCCATAAGCACGTGGGCTATTGATGTTGCTTCTGCAAGGACGGCAGTGGAAGTTTTCAATATTAACAGATGCAATAGTCAATCACAGCCTTGGCCACACGGTGATGTGTTCCTTTGGTCAAAGGAAGCAGTCCAAGCTTTTGGCAAATGTGCTTTTAGCGATGCACGTGACTAGCACATTGATAGGCAACATTTACACTCGATGATCTGGAAAGTCTTTGCTTTGTACCTTTAAAAACTAAAACTAAAAATTTTTTTATGTTTTATTTTACCAGGTAAGGCCCATTGAGCTAAATCGTTTTTTTTTTCTTCCAGAAGCGACCTGGCTACAAGTGATAGCTCAACAAACTGGCTAATCACGTGGAAATGTATACCATCCAAATACTCTAAACACATGTTTAGAAATGCTGAGGGAAAAACCGGAGGACCCGGAGAAAGATCCACGCGACCACGGGGAGAACACCTAAAACTCCAAATATACAACAGGCGTCAGGGTCGGGATCGAACCTATGGCCTCCTGTATACCAGGCGAGGTAGTTAACATCTCGCCACCATGGGGCCCTTAATGTCAACATACATTTTCGACCCTTCCTTGTGTCTGTACGCATTCCTCCAACCACCTGATTTAACATGGCAGGGCAGTCCTATTCAATTGCTTCTCTTGCAAAAACACATATCCAAGCAGTTACATAGTAGCTCCAATCCCGCGGACAGTGTCTTCAAATGTGTGGTCTCCATTCTTTGGTGATCACGGCAAGACTTGCTTAATACATTCATGGGAACACATGTCAAGGTTGACCTTTAAAAGCCTTGTGCTACAAACGGCTGCCTACTCCCCAGCATCGGCACGCAAAAGTACAAACATTTCATCCATTCCGTACCCTCGAAATAAAAATGCTTAATAAAATGAAACACAGTTAGACATACCCTGGCTTATCTCGGACACCTTGAGTCTCCCTTTACACCGTTTAAAATAGCGGATTTTCTGAAAAAATAAGTTAAATTCGTTATACACAGCTATTTCCGTTAATTCATCTTACTGTACATGCTGAGACGTTACGTCGGAGCTCTTACATTGGTGATGATGGTGGTGGTGGTGGCAATTCCTCCCCCCCCCGCCCCCTTCACCATGCCTGTCCGGGATCGCGAGTTGGCGAACGTGGAGTGACGATACCTTCAGATTATGGTCGGGATGGGGGAGCGTGACCGTCGCAGTGGGCACGGAGAGGTGTAGGGCGAGCTGAGGGGAGAGATGCCCAGGGGGTTCCCAGCCAGGCCAGTAATGTTGTTCAAGCTTCGTGACTTTTCGTAACCTTTGTTTCGAGAGAATGCATAGAGAAGATTCACGGCAATGTCCTTTTGAGTCAAGGGTCAACGTCGATGCAAAAAAATGTCTTTAAAAACAAAACGTTAAACGGCACAAATCAACAGGCGCACAACGCGCACACGTGCATTCACATTGCAGTGATGCAGGAAGGAAAAGGATGGCAACAAGCCATCGAGGTGAATCAAAAAGGTCAGCAGTTTTTAAAACAAATATATTTAAATCATCGCTTCCAAACTTGGAAAACAAAGCCAGGAGAACACATTTGATATGATTATCAACAGAATGGGAAAAACGAGGACTTGGTCCTTATAGATTCACGCAATTGCAAGCAGGCAGATATTTGTTTCGTCTGCATTCATCCGACGGTTTATATCAATTCATGCACAAGGCAATTCAAGCACGATGCAGTGTTCACTTTGATCGCAAGCGCAAGGGAAACTTTAGAGCAGGTTCTATTTCACCTCCTGGGTATGTACTATTCACTGTAAAGTTAATTACTCTCCGCGAATGCTCTTGGACTCACGACAGAAAACGCTCCCTTCTTGTTAATTGACGCACGGGAAAAATCTAAATTATCACATCAATCGTGCATGCGAAATGCATAAACATATTTTTTTTATGCGACGAATTGGAATGTATTGTACAGCAACAAAGCCATCAAAGGCTTGAAAATAAACAGGCAACCTTTTAGCACATTAGCATACACAGTTCTTGGGACATTGCACTGAATTTAATTTAATAAAAAAAAAACATTTTATCACGCGGTCTTGATATAAATGGTGCCGATTTATTTATGTGACTAATTTTGCAGCCTTTATTCTGAAATCTGGCTGCTATATATATTCCGCAATCGATGCTCTACATATTGACCTGCAACAAACGTCGAAAAATATATTGTGTGTGCAGCCAATGCACTACACTTATTGTTGCACCGGGTGGCTGGGACCTTTCCATTTCCACGAAAGAGAGGGTGGCTGAAGTAGCGCCAGAATCAATTGCCAGGTCTGCTGCACTATTAATAGTAGGGCCCAAAACAACAACAACGACGACAACAAGCGAGCATCAGCTTCTCCGGATCAACAAAGCGAATATCACAACACGCACGCGATAGTATACATGCATTTCGATCACAGCCATGCGTCAGGTAATCGGTCACATTCCCGGGATTAAGCGCATCCGTTTGATGAGCAAAACGGGCCAGCTTGGGTCAGTTTGCTTGAAGCATTGCAGAGGCAATGTCACAGTGTGGACATTCGTACCGATGTACATGTTTTTTTACGTTCAATATGAACTTCGTGGAAAACTTTAAATAATTTGTACATCTGAATTGGCCACGCATTAACAAAGGAACTGAAACAAAAAATTCTGATGTGCCCCATTGTGGAAATCATAGTGGGGGTGGTTTAATCCCAAAGCAGCCACATGGTTTAAAGTTGACATTTACAGCCTGACTGACGTACATATAACCTGGGGGCTGTCTGTTTAATCCTTCCTGTCATTACAGCATGTTTCACTTTCTGAGCATATGTATGCACTCAAATGTGGCGTGCTGTATACTGTACGTACGACATCAAATGCACCACCCTTTAAAGGTGATACCAGTTGTTAACCAAATGCGACCAGATGGGATTCATTGTCAAACATTGGCACACGTGCGCAAAACGTGCAGCATTCATGCACGTTAACGTAACTTGAAAATTATACGTCAACGTTTTAGCACAGTGCCAATGCTAGGCAGGATTAAAACCGACTGTTCCAATAAAGCCAACTGAACAGGTGTGTTTCAGAATGCACATCGGTTAATTATTATTCATTAACATCATACTGCGTTTATAGATATTCAAGTCAGAGATTATAAATGAAAAAACTAACTAGTTTATCTTGCGTAATTTCAGATAAAATTTACTTTCTGTATCTCAGACGTAGCTGAATATGACTAGCAAAAGCAGTTGTAAGTGTTGCTCTTTAGATATATATTTTTTCTAATTTGCAGATGCAAATAAAGCGCACGGCATCGTGGAATCTGATTGAATAAGCACGCAGTAAAATTGCACATTGCAATTATTTTCCGTGCATTGTGTTCCTCCAAGGAAATGTGATACTCTGGCCATATCTCGGTCATTTATAGATGCCAAAGATCATTTCTCCGTACGACAAAAAGGTCACGCAAATACAGTTTTGCAGCTCGTTAAATTGGGCATTGTTGGGACTCGTAAGAAATTAACAACAGGGAATATATATGCGCGAGGTCTTTGAGACCTAAGTAAGATGAGTGTAATCTTTTTCATTAGTTTAGCATTTTAAAATTACTGCACTGCTACAGTATTCAGAAGTGATTGCTTACAGCACTATACTCTATATGTCAAAATTAGATCTTGAAAATAGGTCACGTGTCACTGTATTTATTAAAGGTTCCCTGATTAAATATTGTGGGGTTGATGACATGGTCTATGAAATGGTTTAAGTTTAGCCCATTTTACCACTGCCAGCATTTTATACGGATGGAAAATGTTTCCAATTAAAATATATTCAAAGGAATACAACCTAGATTCATATAAAATTGGAAAACAACTACAGCATTTATCAAACCTGCACTTATTATCCAGTATATTAGAAATGATAGCAGCCGTGAAGCAATTATCTACAAAATATGAAAGTTATTAGAATTATGTTGTGATTCATTTTAATGTAAAGTCGTAATCACGCTCATATGTTCGCTTGATGCAAAATCATTATTTTTTGTTAGACCAGGAACCTAAACCCTAATTGTGGAATGTCTATTCTTCTATTTAATGATACCCTCTTAATAACATTTGAAATCTGAAAATGTTTTGCTTCAATAATATTGAGAAATATTATCTGAAAAGAGCCATCAGCATTTAGGCATAGAATTACAACTGACTTGGACTGTATAGCTACATTTCAAACGATTGGAAGGCCCAGGTGGCATCACACATTTTCTGCTGATGTCCTTCATGTAGCTACGATACTGCAAAGTCACTACTTCTGTGCCTGCTGCCTACCTGCCAAATAAGCTGCGTCAAAAGGGCACTTTTAGCATTGGGTTTTGCACCATTAATAGTGGCTATTGAAATGACGTGAACTTGAGAATGATGTCCAAGTGTAGAACGAGTTGATGTCTAAGATTCAAACCTGGGATCTCAGCGGTGTTGAACCCATTCCCCCCGAAGCAACGCGGCCACCTTTATAACATTTCTTATATTAATAAATTAAGTTGGAAATTATATTGGCAGGTATATATATATTCCAATTCTATGAATATCATTATGAGCTTTAAAATGATTATTTTACAAACGTACCATTACGTCTCACAACCACATTAGCATATACACTTCACACCCCTCGGTCGGGTGGATTTTTATCCAGGTCCTCGAGATTTCCCCTCCACATTGAAACAAATGCCTTTAGAATATTTGTCCGCTATTAATTTCCAAATGATACGCAACTTCTTTGAGCTATCACATGTGGCCAGGTCGCTTCTGACAAAGAGTGATATAGCTAAAGTGGGCCTTACCTGGTAAAATACGAATAGTTTCTCGTTTTATATGGAAAAAAAACTATTCTTATAGTTTTTATAGTAAAGTTACAATGTGCACTTCATTTAACAAATGAATAATAGCGCCTCTTGGAAATCTTAATTATGCGTATACCATGACGACTACAGAATAGATATCTTACAACTTTTTTGCATGAACGATATTATTACTATTAATTGTTGTTTTCACAGCATTTGCATATAATTACGAGTAATATAGCGTCCTACGTTAAATACATGATCTAGTATGCATAAACAGTGTTACCATACATTTATGTAATTATTGCGAAGTTCCAAAGCATTGTCGTGAGCTTGATGACTGCGCTTGGTGGGATCTGAATGCCTGCGTGTTAATGGCTTACTTTGCCCTACGTGGCACTTGGGCAGCAAAGCCACAAGTTCATACAGACTACTACAGAAGGAGCAGGGCACCGAATGCTGCACTCTGTGTGACTTCACCAGTCGAGTACGCTACGTGCCCAATCCGAGCGCGCGTTCGTGGCCGCCAGGCCTGTTGGAGCTAATTGTGTACAGGAGGAGCGATACAAGAGCCTGCGGCCTGGCATGCAGAGCAATTGGTAATGTGACCGTGATGAAGCTCTGCACCTGGTCCATCATCTGCATCCTCGTCACTGATATCAAAACACTTTAATCCCTGCCAAGAAGAGCTCGTCTCGCGCCTCAAACCACTCGATCGGAGTGCACATCACTTCATCGTCACAAGAATAATGCTTTCATTGCAAGTGATGATTTACCTGTGGAGTTAAAGAGTCACTTGCCAGGTCCTTATGGACTCTCTTCCGATTATCTGAACTTTATAGATGCCCAGATTGTAAGTTTTGGGTTAGATCGCATACGAATAAATGTGTCGAAACCCTCCACCACCCGACACGGCCAATCAGTTAGAGATTTGTCACGTAAACATAACGCCAAATAGTTCACTACTTCAGCCCACCGGTGTGTTGAAGAGTGAATCCACAACATTTACAATCTAAGTACGACGTTTTGCTTGTTATTACATCCAGCATCATGGAGGGTTTCGACACATTTATATTTACACGATCTAACTCAAAAAACCTTTATTATGAATATGCTCAATCTATCCTGATATGTTGTAGGGAATCCTTGTGTAAACGATCGCAAACACCTATACAATTTACGGGGTGTATAACTTTATAACATAGCTTTTACAATTGCGAACCTTAAAATAAACTTGCTGTCACGTGAACCTTCATCCTTTAGCCGCAGTGCCACTACTACTACTACGTCAGGTCACAGACTTTCCGATCACCCCTCGCGCATGGCCATTCCGAGACTTGGGAAGTGACTTTTCCCCAAGCGTGACGTTACCACGCCTACACGTTTAACGCGCTAGGCGAGGCGTTTTTTTGCTGCCTTTGTTTGGTGACGGCGAGGGCTCATACGGCCCCGTTATGACGTTGGTTCACTGGTCTCCCCGTGATGAGGCTGGTCGGCCACCGTGGCAAAAAAAAACATTAAATTTCCACCGTTGGCCCTGGGCCACCAGTAAAGACACCATCACTTCAGTGCCCACTAGAGCCAGAGAAACGCTGGGACTTTTGGAATAATGTTAATCGCATTTGGACTGTCGTGAGCTTTTCTGCTGATCAATACGAAGTCACTGCCGTAGTCAATCTGCATTGTTCCCCATGCTTGTTTGCATTTCAGATAAATGCTGTCTTGGTGAGAAGTCTAGGTACAGTATCAGTGCGGTTGTTATATAGGAATGCTATATCTGTATTTTCTGGGTGAACAAACATTATCACTGGGGTAACAAATGTGACTGATCAGGTGTGCTGTTGACACACCACCACTTTGTGTGCCCATCTGGCCTTGATAGGTCCTGGCTACTAACAGCACTCACCCCGACAAGCGTCGTTAGGCTTTAGCGGAGTTACATCTTCCCCTTGGTTAATGATTACGCAATGGTGGCAACTTTCGTCAGCAGAGCGGTGATCTCATGATGCAAAGATTGTCAGTTGAAATCTGAATCAAGGTTGACTTCACCCATCATCAACATCATTATCATCCTTCTGGGGAGGGTAAAATAGGTACCGCATCACTTGGTGAGAAGTCAGATATTCTCACCTCATTAACTGGCTGGTCCTAGCTGTAGAAAGGTGGAATTACAAGATTGACTGTGGACTCGCAATGGGAAAGTGCACTGCCAAATTCTAGCGATACACATGGTGACACTTTAATATTGAGTCTACATGTAATTGCATATACAGTATGTATAGCATAACTGCTGTTAGTGAATATCATCTATGTATTTGTAGTATGTGTGTATATGTCATCCATGCTGTAGGGACTAACGATTGGATCGTTGTGAGTTTAAATCCTGGTTGGAGGTGGACTCAACCTATCATTCCTCTGGGGTTGATAAATTTGGTACCACGTTGGAGGAAGCAAGCAGTGGTCACGTAAATAGGTAACCAAATATCCCCTTGCCACGTGAATGTAGCATTTTACCACTGAATCAGAGCCACGAACATTGAAAAGTGCTGTCTCAATGTTCATTTGAACTTGAGGACACTTTGACTCTCAATGTACGTTCATATGTCTGTTCATATATCGTCGTATGGTGCAAGTGTGTGTGCGTATGTGTAATTACACGTGCACTCGTTTTATATATTGTATTGCATGTTTGCTAGGCTGGGCAATGAAACCTCTCTTGAATTTATCCTGTTTTCCCGTCAGCAACTCTCGTCACATGTGCTTGGAAAACACTATTTATGCCACGTGGTTTCAGAAACTAGAGCCCATCCCAGGTGACTTAGCGTAACGACTTATTAATAAACGATTCACACGTTGACACGATTTTCCTTTTAAGCTCTTGCATTTGGTAATGGACTGGCAACTGGCCTTGTGGAACGGTAGAACGTGTCTGTGATGGATCAGTTGGCGAAGTATCAAGGCATTTGCTACCATTAGCTTGTCCTGCCACATTTCCTCCAATTTAGTAGGGAAATGTCCCATTCGGGGGGGAGGAACTCAATACAATCGTCAATGACACCGTGGTCTTAAAAGGAAAAATATACAATAGGTGACTTTTCGGGCAATGGACCTTCTTCATGGTACGTACAATTCATCTCTCGTTACATGTGCTTTGAAGACCACAGTGTTATTAATAAAAAAAAACGTGTTGAGTTGTTTGTGTGTGTGTGTGCACGCTTGTGCACCACTTGCCCATGCAGTATCATCGAATAATTCGTTTTTATTTGGGAAGAGGTCAACTTGGCAGCGAAGCGTTACAGCTGTGCCCTGTGTCGATTTCATTGGACGTGGGACGCGTGTCAACGATAGCTCCCAGAAGAGCCGGAAGACCTGGGGCGTGACCGCGTCGGGCCACTTAATCACTCAGCAACTTTTCACAAATGCCCTCGACGATGCCCTCCTACCGAAGGTGGAGCTTGTGCAGCATTTGCTTGAACTTTTTTTTGTATCGAGGCACGTGCATTCGAGAGACCCCTGAACGAGCGCAACTCGCATCGATGTCAAATGAGAGTCGGTGAACCAACTCGGGTTTGAAAATTCTTCGAGCAGGCATCGGGGAAACAAAAAAACTGAGATTGTTTTAATTCAGTCCGAATTAAGCGTAGTCTTATTCTGACTCAGCGTCACTTTACACCGGCCAACTTAAGTGTTTAACAGCTGCTCTGAAAAGCAAACAAAAAAATACATTGCTCGTTTTCACTTCAACGTGTGCGCCGTTTGTACAAGTCATGCACGCTCATACCGGTATAATCCAATACTGTACAGTATTATAATTGAGTTGCACGTTGTGTTCTCAATTGACACCCCCTTTTACTTTGTTAGCGTGGTATCCACTGCATCTCAATAGCGTGGACTGATTAGGTAATCATTTTTTGTCGTCATATCCATTAGCGCAAATTTAAAAAAAAAAAACGATTCCACCAAAAATGTTTCACTTTGGGGGACACACAATATGCAGACACGGTTTGGCTAGACACAGCAACACTAAGCCATAGGCACGTAGATTTACGTCATAGAGGTGGACATACAGTAAAGGACAATACCGATATTTCTGATAACGGATTTGTTAGTGCATTCAGTTCGAGGGGGGGGGGCGTTCAAAGAGCTAGGGAATTATTTGGCATGCACACCGCAAAAGTCAGGAGCGTAGGGAGCAGGCGGGAGATGGGTACACGCAGCTGAGGAAGCATGCTCAAACGAGCCGATTGGCACACTGAATCCATCCCCTACCTTTTCTATTAAGCTCTGAAATCTCCTCTTTAGCGAGGGGGCAGGTGTCGCTCTGCGTGCTGTGACTCGAGGAGTTCATGTCCGACTTGCAAAAATGCGGGGACCCGACCTGTGGTGGCCGGGGAATGTGCTTCTTCTTTTTCTTTGGCAGCTTCTGCTTGGCCATGGCCAGCGAGTAGTACATGCTGAAGTTGTTGACGATGACGGGCACGGGCATGGCGATGGTGAGCACCCCCGCCAGCGCGCACAGTGCCCCCACCAGCATGCCCGACCACGTCTGGGGGTACATGTCTCCGTAGCCCAGCGTCGTCATCGTCACCACGGCCCACCAGAAGCCGATGGGGATGTTCTTGAAGCTCGTGTGGTCGCTCGCCGTCGGGTCGTTGGGGTTGGCGCCGAAGCGCTCCGCGTAGAAGATCATGGTGGCGAAGATGAGCACGCCCAGCGCCAGGAAGATGATGAGCAGCAGGAACTCGTTGGTGCTCGCGCGGAGCGTGTGGCCCAGCACGCGCAGGCCCACGAAGTGTCGCGTCAGCTTGAAGATGCGCAGGATCCGCACGAAGCGGACGACACGCAGGAAGCCGAGGACGTCGCGCGCCGGCTTCGAGGTCAGGCTGCTGAGCCCCACCTCCAGGTAGAATGGCAGGATGGCCACAAAGTCGATGACGTTCAGGTAGTTCTTGATGAACACCTTCTTGTCGGGGCAGCAAATTATTCGTACGAGGAACTCGAAGGAGAACCACGCGACGCACACGCCCTCCACGTACATGAGCACGGGGTCGGTCTCAACATCGACGTACACCTTTTGGGTCGTCACGTTGTTGATGGTGTAATTTTCCGTCTTGTTCAGTACCGTGTTGAATGCTTCGTGCGTCTCAAGGCAGAACGTCGTGATGGAAATTAAAATGAACAGGAGTGAGGCCAGTGCGACGATCTGCAATGGACAGAGCAGAAGAGAGCAGACACCGTTAAGCTAAGTCAGGCAGCTTTTCACAATTAGCATTTGCTTCGTGAAATTATCTCGCGCTGTACGTAGCCAACCATGCTAACCAGAGGTACGGGGGGAAGGACAACAGACTAAACATAAAAAAATCAACTCTAAAGATATTTGTTTTCAATCTAGATGATTTCAAAGTGCATTAACTCCAGTGGCTTCCTCGTATCTGAAGGAAGAGCGTTCCAGACGGCCGCAGAAAGTGTCGATGCGGCGGTTAGCGCACTGCTCTATGAACCGGTGATGCGAGTGTGAATCCTGTCCACAGCTCACATCAGTGGAAAGTGGTATCTGAAATGGTCTCGGGCCCCGCTTCACCATTCCACACTGACCAGCATGGTGAGTTTACGGTGAAATAACTCGTTTATGAGTATCAACATCGGCAGCCGACCGCTTGCACAGACAGGGCAGGCCGGTGCCAGGTGAGACTGCGTGGCAGGCGGAACGCATACAATGTCTCACGCAACGCTCCTATTTTAAGGAACGCACAATTATGTTAGCCTGTGCTTAATAATGCAAAGCCTATACCCTATCATTAATTTTATGACACACTGTATGACATAAGTTGCATAGTTTTTTAAATATATAAATATATAATCCACGCATTCATCCTGCCCATCTCCGGTGGGTTTTACACGATTAACGGACTCTTCCATTCTTAAAACGGCGCAAATCCCGTTTCACTTATTTTCCCAATAGCTTCAACTGGGCACTGTTATTTTCCCCAGCACACTCGTACGTGATTGGATGCAGCAACGGACCTTTGTTTCTGGGTTAGGTCTCTTTGGGCTGTATACGTTTCTCATAGTTGCCCTTATTTTTATTCATTGATGCTACACGGTACATCACAGCATCCCAGTAAACAAGGAACGTTGGGCCAACGTTGGTCCAATGGTTCCATCTTTGCATGTTTACTGGGATCATGGGAGATGACGATGGCTTGGGGAGACCTTCATCCAGCAGCGGATTAACCATGGCTGATGATGCTGCTGCTGCTGACTATGCCCTTGGATATCATTTTATTGACAAAATTGGTCTGCAAATAAAATAATTGACTGCAAGCCTAAGCAATTTTACATGTCGATATGCCTGATGACTGAATAATTTAAAAATACTGTGCGTTCGTTTCTGGATCGTTAGGGCTCCGCAACCGCAGATTGCCCACTTTATTGACGCTATACAACTGCGCTCCAACTGTGTGGAATGAAAGTTAGAAACTGAATGAATAATTGAACGGAAGACATGGTCTGTGAGTGCCAAAGGGGCAGGGGTGCGATGTAAATCAGCAGTCAGCAGCTTAAAGATTCCACGGCCTTGAGCGTGTTGTACCTGCTACTCCTTTATTGGCATGTGGCAGTCCACATGTGGCAGTCCACATGTGGCAGTCCACTGAGAGTGGCAGTCCACTGGCAGTCCATTGGCAGTGGAAGTCGACTGACAGTGGCAGTCGACTGGCAGCGTTCTCAATTGCGCTGGATATTTCCCCTCGATTCGAACGCAACTCATTCACACTGGAAATCAGGAGCCATGTCATCACTGCACTCCAATTCATAATTTCACGCATTGAACCTCTTTTTAAAGGTTGAGATATCCAGTGTTCATGTTTTACAATGGGCGCCACAAATGTATAAAACAAATTTTATTGGATTTGAACGTGGAGTTTATTAATAGGTCGGAGCCGCTGATGTGGCTGATAAGTTTGATAAGTTCTAAAGGCTGCCGCTCAAGCAGCCTGCAGGGCAGCACAAGGTGGCAGCCTGCAGGGCAGCACACAAGGTGGCAGCCTGCAGGGCAGCACAAGGTGGCAGCCTGCAGGGCAGCACACAAGGTGGCAGCCTGCAGGGCAGCACAAGGTGGTAGCCTGCAGGGCAGCACACAAGGTGGCAGCCTGCAGGGCAGCACAGGGTGGCAGCCTGCAGGGCAGCACACAAGGTGGCAGCCTGCAGGGCAGCACAAGGTGGCAGCCTGCAGGGCAGCACAAGGTGGCAGCCTGCAGGGCAGCACACAAGGTGGCAGCCAGCATTTTGCAGCAAATGGATATCCGGTTATCCCGATTACTGACTTTCCCCAAATTTCAGGGGGGGGGGGGGCTGAGCGCCCCCCAGCCTCCCCTGTGGCTCCGTCCCTGGTGAACATCACCCTACAGTTCGCAGTCAGCACACACATGACATTAATGCATTGTTTTTTTAAATTATTAATCTAGAAAATAGACGTGGAGAAAGCCCAAACCCATGGAATTAAGAACGAGATTGACTCGATTCTAGCTGACAAACCCCCGATCGACAGAGACGTCTCTGTCCTCAAGAAATTCAATGCACGCAACGAACGCAGACGGGCGCCAAGCAAGCTGCACGCTTCAACGCAGCCGACGGAGAGGGCAAAACTAAATGCAGCCAAAACCGAGGGAACATCGAAATCCAAGGCAGCAGGCGGCTGTTTTTGGTTTATGCTAATCAACGAATTCAAATTCCTATGCAATCAAATTGATGAAATGGATGTCACCACTCTAAATGAGGAATTAACTAACGTAGTAATGAAGAATGAATACGAAGTTGAGGGGAAAGCTGGCAAGCGACGCGGAAGTTGTCCGAGACCATTATAAAAAATGAGAGGCTAACAAATCACGCGAGCAAGCAGAGTTTCGGAAAGGTTTCTCTACCATCGACTGCTTTCAGACTAGCTATTCATAAGATGCTGGAATAGACCAATACATGTCGATTATCGTTGTGCCTGGCATTTGTAGATGACGAACAAGCATTTGACTTAGTAGAAATAGATGTACTCATCCAAATTCAAATAAGTTTACAAAAAAAGGAACATTCATAGTTGCGTAGAAGGGAAACAATAAAATAATAAAAATCTAAAACAATAAAAAAATATTTTTTATATATATTTGTTATTTTATTGTTTCCCTTCTATGTGACTTTACCGAAAGAACCAAGAATATGAATCCCTGAGTCACGAACGCTTTAAATCAAAATCCAAAGTTGGGCTCAGGATAAATATGAGCAAAACAATTGCCATGCGCAACATTTTCAGGAAACAATTTGAGATATCTGTTGGAGGCAAGCAACTTGGAAAGACATCGTGGGACATGTACCTTGGGCAGCGATTAAAGGTGGGACCAGGATCTAAAATAATGAAATATCGAGGTGGATGGAAGCAGGTTGGAGTGCTTTTAGAAAGCTCAATTTGATCATATGAAGTAACAGAGCAACGTGGCTATACAACAACGTTTTTTTAAACAGTGCGTACCACCTGCTTTGACAATACGGCTCAGAAACCTGGGCATTAACTCTAGATGAAGAATAAACACTGAAATGTGCGACAATAAACACGGAGAAACTATTTCTTGGGAACCACGTCGAGAGATAAAAAGAGGAACACGTGGATTAGAGACCATACACAGGCTAATGACATCCTCCAAACTATTAATAAAAGCAAGTGGGCTTGGGCAAGATACGTCACGAGAACACATGATGGACGATGGTCAGCAATAATAACGGAGTGGCAGCCAAGGAATATGGAGAGCATCTGAGAGGACATCTACCAAGAAGATGGATTCATGAGATCAGTTCATTTGAAAGTGCCGGATTGATTGTTGCATCACAGGATCATGTGAGGGTAACTTAGAGAGTGGGATCGATCATGGCTGATGATTATTATAATTGGACACGCTTTTACAGTTCCTTTTAAGTTGCATGGGTTTTTTTTGTTTTCTTAAACACTACGTATCATTCATCTCATCATCATCATCATCGACCATGGAGCACCACGATGGTGAGATGTTAACTACCTCGCCTGGTACACAGGAGGTCGTGGGTTCGATCCCAACTCTGATTCCGACCCTGACGCCTGTATATTTGGAGTATGCATGTTCTCCACGTGGTCGTGAGGATTTTCCTCCGGATCCTCCGGTTTTTCCCTCCACATTAAAAAAAAACCACACGTTTAGAGTACTTGGCTGCTATAATTTCCACGTGATAAGCCATTTTGTTGAGCTGTCATGTGTGGCCAGGTCACTTCTGAAAAAAAGCTGCATAGCTCAATGGGTCTTACCTGGTAAAATAAAACATATATAGTTTTATAGTTTTATAGTTGTATGGTCAATCCACTGCTGGTTAAAGGCCTCACCAAGCCACCGCCACATCTCCTGCGATGTGGTAATTCACCTCGCACCTGCGCACGAACTGACTTCGTCGCTCCATATCCCCAGCCCCAGTCAGCATCCTCTCAGATGTGTTACCTTGCTTGGCTGCCATTCCATCATCCCTTCTATAGGTGTGCCCTTCCTACGCCCACTCACGTATATATGATTTTGATTCGCTGGAATTTGTATCCGCTGGGATGTATATGACCTGCGTATCTTCTGTTAACCATGTGCTCCTCTTTCTATTTCACAATGTAATTCCAAACAATGCTTCTTTCCCTGATTCTCTATGCACTTTTTCCCATTTACCTCAGATCCTTAAAATAACAAAAAAAACTACAGTGGCACCTCGTTATACGTCGTTAATTCTTTCCAGAAGGTCGGACTTATAGCAAAAATGACGAATATACAAAACGAATTTTTCCCATAAGAAATAAAGGGAAAGGAAATAATCCGTTCCAGAGTAAAATAAATTATATTTTATACGGCATATTAAACATTAATGTGGTTGTATAAAAGAATTTAGACGCTACTTAATTACTAAATTGCATACATACATTAAAAAAATGCATACATTTAAATAAAAATAAAATTTAACATCACTTTACCTTGCTGAGAGGAGTTAAAATTACAAAAAGCACGTGAAAATTCACAGAGAGTTATAGCAAGGGTTGTGCACTGAACGAGATCTACAGGCAGACTGAGGAGCGGCGCTTTGTCTCAGTCGTGAACGGGGTCTACGTGGAGACGCGGTGACTCATCCCGACCCAGACAAGTTCTAGCAAGCGCA